CCAATCGCCCCATCCCCGCGTCCTCGCCCCACTCACTCCCGCCATCCCACCACCCGCCGTCCGTCATCTACTCCCCCGCAGCCTCTGCCCACACGCCCCTCCTCTCCGCCCTCTCCAACCTCGGCTCCAGCACACCCGCCTCGGGCGCCGTCTCTCCGCGCTCCCCCGCCAGTGCCTTTGCCCGCCCGACCCTCCTCGCCTCCAATCCCGCGTCCGTCGCAGGCTCATCCGCCCCCTCGTCCACCACCAACCCGACCACCACGTCCAGCCCCGCAAACGCGCCGCCGCCGCCCTCCAACGATGACATCGAGGCCGTCATCAAGATGGCCATGACCAGCTCCGCCGCCGCCGCCCCGCCCCCCGGCGGCCGCGACACCCGCACCCAGCTCTTCGTCGGCAACGTGAGTGTGCTGCCTCCCGCCTCCCCTCTCTCACCCGCACCGCGCCTCACTCACTCGCGCGCCCCCCACAGCTCCCCTACCGCGTCCGCTGGCAGGACCTCAAGGACCTCTTCCGCCGCGCGGGCACCGTCCTGCGCGCAGACGTCGCGCTCGGCCCCGACAACCGCAGCCGCGGCCACGGCACCGTCCTCCTCGCGACCCAGGACGACGCCGAGCGCGCCGTCGCGCTCTTCCAGGGCTGGGCGTGGCAGGGCCGCGTGCTCGAGGTCCGCAAGGACCGCGCGGGCGTCGGCGGCGCGGGCGCAGGCGTGGACGACTGGCCCGGGCCGTTGGCGGAGGGGCCCGCGAGCCCGATGATGGCCGGGGTCGCGCTGGCGCTGTCGCCGCCGCATGCGGCGAGTCCGCGAGGTGCGTGTGGTTTGTGTGTCGTGAGAGCGGGGCGTGTTGTGCTGATGGGCGATCGGGCGTGTGCGCGCGTGTGTAGGTATGGGCGTGGGCATCGGTGTCGGTATGGACGAGGCAGCGATCGTGGACGCGCGTCGGCCCTGGCGCGCGTATGGCCCTTCCCCGAAGTGCACGGGTATCCTCCCGTGCACGGGCCTGTCAAATTCCCAAGTCCTTTGCGGGTGCATGGGGACGCGGTGTGGCAGAGACCGGGCTGCGCTTATTTTATTTTTAGCAGTGCGACTGCCTGTTTCTTGTTCGGATGCTGCAGAGTGTTTTCTATTTTGGATGCTGCAACGTCGCGCACATTTGAGAGGGCCATTAGGCGCGCGGTGCCCATGCGACGCGGCCCTGTGATCGCGTCTGTGCATCCGCTTTGGGTCGGGATGACGCCCCAGCACCCGGTCCACCATCCCCACCCGCTCGCGCACTCGGCCTCGTTCGCGCAGCAGGTGCTGCAGCACCAGCATATGCAGGCGCAGATGCAAGGCGCGGCGCAGATGCAAGGCGCGGCGCAGATGATGGGCCCCCGTGCGGCGCAGATGATGGACGCTTATGCAGCGCAGATGCGGGAATCGCACGAGAGCGCGGACGCATTCCAGTCTCATGTGTACGACGAGACGCGGCCGCCGGCCCATCCTGCAGACTTTGCAGCCGCGAGCCCATTTTCACGGACATGTATGCACCCGCACGCGTCTCGCGCCTCGTATCCCCTTCAGCATCTGGCGTGATCTGTCCCGCGCTGCCGTATACTACTCTCCACAGCCCCACGCTCACGACGCGCGCTGCTGCATACTCTCCGCAGCCACGCGCGCACACGTTCTTCTCACCGGAGAGCACATGAGATTCACGCAGTCAATGCGCACCAAGTAGCGGGGAGCCTGAACAAGACCGGTACATGACGGCCGTGCAAGGCCAGTCGTCGGCCCGCCGCTCTCAACCTGCTCCGCCGCCTCACAGCTTTCCGCGGCCGTATGTAGATCGTGCGAAGAGCAGGGCTGAGCGTTCGCGTTTGTGATCGTCGCGCGCCGGCAATCGTGTGGATACACTATTCGTACATCCCCCATTCGTCCCGCTCCATCTCATCGCTGTCGCCCCAGAGACCATCAGCCGCAGTCATGTTTCAATGGAAGTACAAGCACCCAGACGTGTGCCGCGCCTTACATCTTCCTCAGCCCTCGAGACGGAGAAAATGAACCAGCACTTTGACTCGATCTCCAACACGAACTGGTCGCGCGGCGCTAGTGAGCACCTTTTCAGCCTGCTCCCGCTGCGCTTCGCTAAATGAATTGTCAGCAAATGCGCTCATCGCCGGCTGCTGGGACCGTACCATCTACTTCTAGGACCCGCGCGTGACCTTGCCACAGCAGCGGGGCGCCGCTCAAGTCAGGCGGCATATGGCAAAGAGCGGCCACACACGACACGCGCAATGCCAAGACGTCGAAGGGCAGCGCGCGTGCGCGGGCGTCGCGAAGATCAAGCTTGTCTGGTGGTACCGACAAACGTCAGGGCAAGGGGACGCCTAGGCACTCATCGTCTCCCACGGCGAGGGGCCAGACAACAGTCCCGCGGTGCGGTTTTCAAATAGTCCGTAGCGAAATGAAACGGACGCGTAAATTTGAGTTCGCGGCATCAGCGCGCGCATACGGGCGGGGCGCGTGGCGACGTCGGGTCCTGTGACAGCGTACCATCAGCGGCGACAGCCATCGGTGCGTGGACGAGTCTCTTTCCCACCTCATGTGTGATGTACACCGTACAGTATGACCCACCAAATATATCTGTTGACCGCAATCAGTATATACAGCATGCAGTGTCGCGATGGTTGTGCGCTCACCTATGCGTCGCATTTCGGGGCACTCATGGCACGTCCTGTCCTGCGTCGGGATGCCGGGGGACATGTCGGTGAGTCGCACGGATGAGCAGATGCACCTCGACGGTGCCTGACAGACACCCATGATACCCGGCGTGCGGTGCCAAAAAAAATGAGCACGTCGAGAATCTACCCAGCACGACAACATCAGTCTTACCTGATTCGAGGAGCGCATCAACATACCGCAGTCAAGCACCACAGCTACAAGACGGGGGAGGCGACAAGGGTATATGAGTACAATGCACCCGGTAAGCCCGCAATCATGTGCCTTACCGGACATGCAGCAACTGAGGGTGCGCGGTCGGGGGTCAGCGAGCAAGCACACGGCAGGGGCATGCAGAGAAGAGGGGTCAGACAATGAGAAGATAATGAATGGCGAGGCAGGTAGCCCTCCTTTTATACCCTTTGCGACCCCAACGGATGTGCCCACCATGGGATATTGTCCCGGCAATGTAGGTTGTCGCCAATGTCCGCAACACCATTCGGAAATCACTCACCATGCTTTGCAGAGCGGCGTAACCAAGACGGAAGATGCGAGCGGATCATGCGCGCGCGCGCCCTTCGAATGATGCCAGCGTTCACTGAGAACTTTCGCTTCCGCGTGTCAGAGCTCGCTTGTGCGAGCAATGGAAATTGTCCGTGGTAGTCGTTATCCGTCCCCCGGTGCTCGCACTACATAGAGTTCATGGAGGCGGAGTTCTCTGCTCGTCACACACTCTTCCAACGAGAAGTGCTCATCCGCCTGCACACTATCCTTGGATATTATGGGGGTCTTGGATGGCCACAGTTGCAGCTATCCATTCGAACTATTTCTTGGGAGTCGGACAGGTAGCAAATAGCATAGGTGTAGAACAACATAGAACCGCAACCGGAAACATTGTATCTCGTGAGAACACATCCTCTTACCATCACTGGGCCTGACTACCCATATCTTCTCAAACAACGCCGCATACATTTGATCAGTGATAGGGATATGAAATACAAATGCGGGTGTAGAAACAAGTGTCGGCATCGGGTGGAAAGAAGTGAGCGCCAGGATACATGAAAGCAAGCGGCGCGGAAAAGGATCAGTTTCAAAGCGGTTTGTCTCATCCTTGGGGCGGAGAGGCAAACACGCGAGGTATTTTGATGTGGGAACTCGAACTAATATAGCTATTCCTTATCCAAATAAGGTGTGAAGTAGCAAGGTGCTATTGTGCTGCAGTGCGGCACATCGGTGAGCCAGGAATCGGGCATGTGCTTGTCTAGTTGTCTCAACAGTGGGATTCACTCAAAATTTGCATTGCAAATATCCCTCAATTCCGTCCCGAGCTTTTTTATAATGTGCTTATATACCTCTGGAAACAATCATGTATACTCCTCACTCTGGTTTGTGTCGATAGTCTGTACTACACC